GCAGACGTACGGCTGTGCCACTGGGGGCATAGGCTTAGTAAGAACTGTGATTATTATCGATAGCTACCAGATCTAATGACATTTAGGCCTAATGCTCGATCACTGTAGAATGAAAGCAAAATGTTAATTGATAGATGTGGTCACTAGCTCATGCATATACATATACAAACACACAAAGAAATCTATATATTTTTTGCATTTATTATACACACAAAGATTTCAATAGTTCCTTCTCCACAATAGGTTTTTATATTCAAAACCGACAATATTTCGTGCAAATATCATGGCAAATATTTAAGAATTATTGATTCAGTAAATGACGTTATTCACATAAAAATTATCTCAAATACGACAATCGTTTCGTGTCATCATTTTAAAAATGCCCGTACTTTAGTTATTTAAAAATAAGTATTTATCTTTTGAGATATTAGATAATTATCAATTTTTTTTTCTGCTTCTTAGACACCTTCCACTTTCATGTCAGTGGTGATGGTGATGGCGATGGTGAAACGGCGGACGATGGTGATGGTGGTGATTATGGTGTCCCCCATGAAAAGCAGCATCTAAGGCGCCTCCAACAATAGCTCCAGCTACTAGACCTGCTCCGAACCCGCGCCGTGGAGGGGGATGACGCTGAAAAAAAAAAAACACATCACATGGCATATGAATGGAAATACGTTGTTATATCTCATTTAAACACAATGTATACTGATTAAATTGTGGGATGATTCCCATTGAAACATTACACCCTGGTTCTCTTTACTGGAAAACGTTATCAAACCTTGATGCTTTTACGACAAAAACAGCTCAAAATCACGTAATAGACTCCAAACCGTTCAAAATCACGTAATAGACTCCAAACCGTTCAAAATCACGTAATAAACTCCAAACCGTTCAAAATCACGTAATAGACTCCAAACCGTTCAGTATCACGTAATAGACTCCAAACCGTTCAAAATCACGAAATAGACTCCAAACCGTTCAAAATCACGAAATAGACGCCAAACCGTTCAAAATCACGTAATAGACTCCAAACCGTTCAAATCACGTAATAGACTCCAAACCGTTCAAAATCACGTAATAAACTCCAAACCGTTCAAAATCACGTAATAAACTCCAAACCGTTCAAAATCGTATACACGTAAGAACCAAGTATGAAAAAAAAATAGTCTCAAACTAAACAAATCATACAAAACATTTATATGCTAAATATCTAATTACTGGAATTATATAGAGTCATCACGTTTTTTCTTATTTCAGGGAATTACTGCAATACATGTATAAAAACTACATTCAATCCTAGTTTCATTATGAAGCTAGCTAGTTTACTGATGTTATGTTTACAGCTAGATAGATAGTCATGTACTACACAAAGTTCAATCCTAACTGATGTTATGTTTACAGCTATATGGATAGTCATGTACTACACAAAGTTCAATCCTAGTGTCATCATGAAGCTAGCTAGTTTACTGATGTTATGTTTACAGCTAGATAGATAGTCACGTACTACACAAAGTTCAATCCTAGTTTCATCATGAAGCTAGCTAGTTTACTGATGTTATGTTTACAGCTAGGTGGATAGTCACGTACTACACAAAGTTCAATCCTAGTTTCATTATGAAGCTAGCTAGTTTACTGATGTTATGTTTATAGCTAGATAGATAGAAAAACGTTTGTCTTTGTCTGGAGATTATACTTGTATCTATACGGATTATAAAGTCTTACAAACTAAATTTTTGCTTGTTAGTTATCAAACATTAAGCTACGCAACGGGCTATCTGTGTGCTATGTCCACCGTTGTAAGCTTACCGCTGAGTCACCGGGGGGGGGGACAAACGAAACGAAAAGTAAACTACGGCTAATAGAGGTTTTACTAATTGTATAACTTAGTTTTTTGTACTGTGTGCACTTTTGAATCAAGATTATACAAATAAAATTATGCTAACCTTCGTTCCTTTCTAGCCATTGAGTTTAGAAACTAACGCTTAAGTTTAGAAACTAACGATACTGTGACAGTCGTAAAGAATTACCTTAATAATGTAGAATATACAAAACAAAGTATTTTTTGAGTAGATGTTGTTATTTTCGTAGTGCAAAGTTACACAATGGGTTATATGCACTCTCTCCAACTCCGGGAATCGAACCCCGGTTTTAGCGTTGTAAGTGCGCAAGCTTACCGTTGACACACCAGGGTGCTTTTAACTATCTGTTGACAACAATGAGATCTAGGTTATCATAATCTGCACTGTATAAAAATATCTTTTTACTCTTAAACTGTAAAAAAATACATAAAATATACCCAAATACTCCAATTTGAAATTAGGATTACATCAAGTGTATCTAACTCTTCAGGTGAAAATAATACTGTACATTTATGTACATCACTTGGGCTGCCCCCTCGAAATTTTAATACAACAACGAAACTTTGACTCCTCCTTTTTATTCATTTGTTTTTGAAAAAAGTTCTTTTGTAGTTGTGTCTAAATATTGTTAACTTTTTTCTTGTCAGTTATCTAACAAAGTGTTAAAAAAATTACTTTCAAACTTCGTATGAGGTGGAGTCTTCGTAAAGCCCTTGACGTTAAGCCTATTTCTTCTTCTTACCGAAGAAAAATACTGAAAAACAAGATGTGGCCTAATATATCATGAGCACAAAATATATATGTGTGTGTGTGTGAAATTCTCATCATTATCGATGTATTTTCAAAAATATTTATTAGCATAGTCAGATTTATTTATAGCCTTACATTTTTATGCTTGAATTTTAATCATCACATCTGCCACCAGAAGGAGCTAATAATGTAAACACTAAATAAAAGAAAAAGAAAACTTGTTTGAAATTTTATTGTTTGACTGCGTTTACCACAGGTCAAACCCATTAATTACCCTTCTTGCTAACAGGGGGCACTATAAACACAAACTATATAATATACAGGCTAACCATTCTACATCTTTAGTAATCCTCCTCTTTAAATGTTCACAAGAACCCTATGAGAGTGATAATATAGGTCACACTAGTGCTACCACCTGGTGGTGAGACATACACAGTCGAAGAAACCTGTGGTGGCGGTGGATATGGATAACTTGAATTATAAGGAGGGGGGATTTATTCAAGTTGGATAGTCTAAAAATCACAAAAACATATACACACACTTTAAGATAATGCAGTAATATATGTATTTATACATAAACATTATAGTTCATTATTCCACCACCAGAGGCTATGTAAAATAATCCAAGAGACGAAGAACCAGCATTTTAGTCCATCATAGTCCACCAATATATCAATCTGGTCGTATAAACGATGAGTATGTACGGGTTTTCAAGCAATCTGGTCGTATAAACGATGAGTATGTACGGGTTTTCAAGTTGACCTCTGAACAATGGGGTGTTATCCACTTAAAACGTAAATTTTATGCTCCTTGAAAACCCGTACATACTCATCGTTTATACGACCAGATTGCTTGAAAACCCGTACATTCTCATCGTTTATACGACCAGATTGCGTGTATTTTATTACTATTTGTTACTTTTACATCACTTTATCTTTCCTTACGATACTGGGTGATTAGAACGACACTTGTACTGGTTTCACATTGTCTACTTTTCTAACCGATTTGCATCTAGAACTCTACTCTTTTCATTGAATAATCATCTGTTATCAGTATTGTTTTTCTAGCTGGATTAGTTATATTTGCTATTGATTAGTAATCACGTGATTTAAAGACAAATTATAAATGGTTGGTTGTTTTTAGAGCAAAGCCACATGGTACTATCTGCTATGTCCGCCGCGGGGAATTGAACCCCGGATTTTAGCGTTCTAAGTCTGTAGATAATGATAAATGTTTGTTTGTTTTAGAGCAAAGTCGCATTGTACTAACTGTTATGTCCGTCGCCAAGAATCGAACCCCAGATTTTAGCGTTGTAAGTCCGTTGACTTACCGCTGTCCCACCGGGAGAACGATGATAAATGAGAAAAAATAACAAACGGGACAGTTACATTATGCTAATAAACTTTAAAATATGCTCTCAGCTAGTTTTTACATACGTTATTTTTTATTGTTTTGTTAGTACAGTACTTTACTGATGTATTGTGCACTTTTTACGTTAGTAATTTATTGTCTTGCTTGAATTACAAATAATGATAAGCATATAAACGTGTGAAGCCACCATCTGCTTCTTTAAATTTGTATATTATACATCAGGGTAGTTAAAATGTCTTAAACATTTTGAAAAACATAAGTAAAATGTTAAA